AATAGTTTTAAGGAATTATTCAGGGTTACATGTCATTAGGGCCCAAAGTACCAATTATATCTTCAATATGTCCTAATTTATGAACATATCATATTTTTGCTCTCTATTTTGATTTCCATGTACTGTGCATGACTTCTTGGCTTGAGAGACTTGGTCCTGAGCAGCTCTTAAGGGACCTTGGCCTGAAACTCCCTCTAGTTTTAAATCCTGATTTTTGCATGGTATTTGTTCTTTGCTCAATATGTCTCTTGATGGTACAATCTGGGCAACTTTTGCCATTATGATCCATGTTGTGGTGCTTGAGGACTTGCATTCCATCACCTTAAGACACGGCATATTGGAGTACAATCTATTCCGCCACAGTTGCCAACTCAATATGGTGTACATTTCATTCAGCCAAATTCAAGTAAAATGTTATTGTGTCTCTAACTAATGTTGAGCCCCAGCAGTAGAAAAGTAGTTTAACCTCTCTTCCAGCGCAAGGCCTGCAATCTAACTCTCGGAGGAGCAGGCATAGAAAACAAGATGATTCATAGTACTGATCTGTTCTCCTTCACAGTGGGGAATCTTGCTGTTTTATTGTTAACAGAAACATCGATGGAAGGAACTGGCAGCTTGAGTGATCTTGGCTGCAGTTTGACTGCTGAATTTGATAACTTTTGTTCCACAACAGATTTTCCATTCTGGCCTACTTACTGAAAACAAGGTGTAATGTTTCACACACTTGTAAAACAGAAATAAATATACAATCATGATTTAATGTAATAAATCATTGATGCCAAATGAAAGTGTATCACTTACACAGCAACTTGTACTTATCGAGCACCATTTTACTTCTTACAGTGTTAAAAAGGCTCTCCAAAGGCTCTTCACAGGAGCAGTAATGATGAACTTTGATATTGAATCACAATGGAAATATTAGGCTGGATGGTCAAGGCTTGGCCAGAAAGGTAGACTTTAAGGAGTGTTGTAAAGGAGGAAAGAGATCGCAGGAAATGTTTAAGGAGGGTATTATAGATCTTGAGATCTTGACAGCCTAAAGCATGGCTACCAGTACAAGTGTAGTTAAAATCAGGGATTTGATGAGAATGTGTGAATGCGAAAAAGTTATTCTGTCTCAGAAACCATTCTGTCATTATATTCTAAGTATGTGCTATCATGATGCTCATAATTTTCACAAATCACTTTCAATTCTCTCCTGCCCCAACAACAGAAGTTCAATTGGTATGGGGCATCTGTCAGTTGCTTTTAGAATACTGTGGATGCCATTATTAATTAACATTTTTCCTGTGAAAGTACTACATGTTACCAACTCCAAGTAGGTTTCAACTTTGTGACGGAATGTTTGAAAACTTTTCTTTCTGTGCTTTTACAACACAAAGATGTGGTGATATAATTTGCCCTGAAACACAGTTCAAGCTGTAAAAACACCTTTGTTTTGTTTGTACTCAATATCATCATCACATCAATCAAACATAGTTATTTTGGTTGTCCCCCTCACCCAAGCAAAGACAGTTTATTTCTACATTGAATTCAAAGATTCGTATCCCCTATTTTTCTTTTGGGTATACAAATAGAACTTCTCAACATTTTCTTAATCTATTTTCCTTCTGCTATTCAGAAATCTGATTAATTTAAGGAGCAATTTGTTTGACATTCTGTGTCGCCATGATGAGTTTTGGAGCCAGAAAATACACAATATGCAGCATTGTAGTCAAATCAATATCCATTTCAGATCTGGACATTTGATGTACAAGCAAACGGTCTCAGGCGAGAATAATATACATGAAGAGATCTGAATCACATTGTATTATATTATGAATTATAAATTATATATTATTCATGTCCTCAGCATCTTTAAGCTGAATATTTTACTGAAATGAAGTCACTGTTGTTTGAAGGCAACCAATTTTCATATACCGTTGTCATACAATCAACAAAGAGACAAATGATAGGTTTTTTTTATTGTGGATGGAGGAGTATTGAGTACAGGCAAGACCTTGGTTTAACATCTCATTCTTAGAAAGCCTGTCTGAGACGTTTATGTTCTTGTGACTCAGGATTGGAACTTGAATTTACAATCTTGACAATCAGAAGCAAGCATGCTATCATTGAGCAAGGCTGACACCTAGCATTCTATTTATGTTTGCAGTAGTCACAATGCTTAAAAAGGCTAAAATACCTAACGGTTTGTGAGCTGCTAACTTCTCATGACCAGTCCAACCAACATCTGCACTATTTGTTGTTTCTTCAGCTAAATATGGTCACTCACTGAAAGATGGCAAACTTTGAAAATGCTGGCTTCTAAACTGATGTCAATTGTAGCAAATCTGCCTGAATTACACTTTTAATGATTGCTCTGCTACCACACTAATTTTCATGATGTATTTATTATTCACTGTACAATGAGGTTCATTCAGTTAGCACCTCTCAAATGTTAATTCTGATCTTGCTCTCTCTCTCTGTACTTTCTGTGTAGCTGTAACACTGTATTCTGCACTTTCTTCTGCTACCCTAGTGCACTTTGAATGTACGATCTGCCTGTATAGCATGCAAATTCTACCCTTTTCATTACCTGTGCCTTGGTACATGTGACAACAACAAATCTATCAACAATAAATATATATATGCATATTTACAGTATATAAACTTATATGCTATATATTTAGTGTATTGTGTACTTCCCAGTTGATTTCAACACTGGGTAAGTCAAATCCAGAATGAAATCTGGCTTGTTAGATCCTAACTTTGTTTTTTCCAACTGTGGAGCCCTGTTGCTGAATACATCCACATGACGCTTTCAGTGTACTTTTGACACGAAGAATAAGACATTTATTAAAAGAGAAAAAAAAAGAACAATACTACATTAAGCAAAAGGAAGAGGAAAAAAAAGTCATTATAGATATCAGGAAAATGTTAAATTTCTCACTACCTCTTTTGATCCCAGCAATATCATTATACCCACTCAAACATCAGTAAAGATTCACAACTATCTTTACTCTAAAACTCCCTTCTCTGACAAAGGTAGGCCAGCTGCAACCAGCTTCCTTTCAGCAGTTTTCTGAGCAGTCACTTATTCTACTTATCCCTTCATCAGGTGAAACAAACTACCAGCAAAACTCATTATTACTTTCAGAACAAATATACATGTTTCCTAAACTCAGTTGCCAAGATTAATTGCCTCCATCCCATACACATATTGGATACAATCATATTGCTTACAGTTGACTAGATTGTTCATTCTGTCTGTATTGTTGAGCTACTGTCACTGGGTAATAACAGTTTTTCTTTCTGCTCCACTTTTTTTAATACAATGAAGTGTTTACCTCATAGGTTTAAACGTCATTGAAAATCCACATAAACAAAATGAATCTCTCCACTTCCCAGAACTAAGAACACAAGTTTACAACACGAGCACTAAATTGAAATTAATCTGTCTTCCACTTCTTAACACAAAAAATACAAAACATAATTTAAACATTAAGTTTGCATTGTTCTCAACAATTCTAGATACACACTGCATTTCTAAAGGTGAATTGTAATTTACTGCTTTGAAATAAAATTACAGAGACAGGTAGTAAAATAACTGTGTATTATTTTGTACCATGGTTTTTTGGTAATTTACTCTGATTATTCCTGTCTTAGGCTACAGGTGATCTCATGAATTAATAGTGTTAGCTAACATTTTCCAATTGATTTTACAAAATTGTTTATGGGTTTTGGAGAATGACATTAAAAGATTCTACCTTATGTTTCATTCTGCTGCTGTGTAGCTATCCCCTTAACCCTATACTACACATCATTCTTCAAACTGAGAGTAACAATGAAAGCAGAAATAAACGCAGAAAATGCAGAGATACTCAGCAGGTCTGGCAGCATCCGCAGACAGAGAAAGGCCAATGTTTCAAGATGAAACCTTCAAAGCTTTCATTAGGAAATCAGTTCCTAGTCTTTGTCAAATTTTACTCTAGTACTTGCTTCCAAGAAGTTTAAAGACCAACTTTACTTCCCCAGTGTCTCCCTTTTTATCTCTTGTACAACAGAATATATTTTCCATCTTGCATATAACATAATAGGGTGCTATGAAGTGAGCTACCATAGAATAGAATCCCTACTGAAACAGGCCATTCAGCCCAGCTGGTCCACAATGACCTTCTGAAGAGCATCCCACCCCTACTGTATCCCTGTAACCCTGAATTTCCCATGGCTAACACAACTAACTCACACGTGCTGAACACTATTGGCAATTTAGCATGGCCAATCCATCTAATTTACACATCTTTGAACTGTGAGACGAAACCAGAGGACTTGGCAGAAACCCATGCAGACATGGGGACAATGAGCAAACTTCATGCAGTCTCCTGAGGGTGGAATGAAACCCGGGTCCCTGGCACTGAGGCAGCAGTGCTAACCACTGAACCACCATGCCACCCCATGATGATTCCAATGATTATAATAGTTCCAAACATAGTGAAATCTCTGAACTGAACTCTCTGCATGAAAAGCAGAGATGGTGGAGAAAACACAGTGAGCAAGCTATTTGAGATTACTACTGGGTCACTCATAGTTTAACTCCTGGAAGAGATATAATGTATGAAATAAAGATGGGGGGAATAGAAATGGAAAAATGTTCCCGAAAAGTTGATTATTAAGGACTTGCCTAAACTGCAAACAAATGACATAACATCAAATATCTATTGAAAAGAAGGAGCTCTAAATACTAATCCTACCTCATTTTTGCCAATCAACAACATAAAAATTCAATTTTTCACAAATAATTTGAACTTGAGTCTTTTGCACTACAACATTTGAGTCAATCAATGATTGGAGTTAACTAATGGAGGAGAAACAACATTGAAGACTTACAGAGATAAATGGAAATTTTAAAAGTGCTCTGTAAACTAAGATAGAAAATGACATCTCAACTTCTTAGTTAAAGACTGATGTGCTCTAGGACATTGCCTGCATATTTTTTATCTGCATATCTTTCTTTCTGACAGGAAGCACTATCAGTAGTCAGTGAAGACCAGTCCTTATTTGAGTGTGCCTACGGAACATCTCACCTAGCCAAAACAGAAATGACAGCTTCTTCATCAAGCGACTATGGGCAGACCTCAAAGATTAGCCCCCGTGTTCCACAGCAAGAGTGGTTGGCACAGCCACCTACCAGAGTGGCCATCAAGATGGAGTACAACCCAAATCAGGTCAATGGATCCAGGTAATGAGCTCATTCATGGAGTTAATTCAAAATGCTACTTGAACACTGTGTACCAAATAAGATGATTCTAAAATTTCAGATATTATAGAATTACTTCAACTTATGTCTTTCACATGCTGAACCGCATTGTAATACAACTATGACTGATGTATTTGCTAAATGCTGAATATAGAAGTCCTACCAAAATGAATTTGAACAATTGTTTAGATGTACAAAACTGGAGTATCGCTTGGAAAAAGACACATTTTTTGTCAAGATTTTTCATCTTGCACTTGTAGAATCATACAGTATGGAAGAGGCTCTTTGGCCCAATCATTTCTACCACCAAAAATGCACTGCTACTTACACTTTTCTCACTTTCCCACACTAGGCTCAAAGCCTTGAAAGTTACAGCACTTCAAGTGCTCATCCAAGAACTTTTTAAAAGTTGTGTGTTTTTCTGCCTCAACTACCCTCCCAGACTCCCACCACCCTCTGTGTGAAAAAGGCTTTTCTCAAATCCCCTCTAAATATCCTGCCTTTCACGTTAAAATTATGCACCTTAGTTATTGACTCTTCAACAAAGGAGAACACTGCTTTCTAGTCATCCTGACCATGCCCCTCATAATGTTGTACACCTCTAACAGATCGCCCCACTCCAACCTTCTCTGCTTCAAAGGAAACAACCTGAGCCTATCCAGTCTCTCTTCATGGCTAAAATGCTCTATCCCAGGCAACATCATGGTAAATCTCCTCTACATCCCCTCCAGTTCACTCACGTCCTTCCTATAGTTTGGTGACCAGAACTGCACACGGTACTGTAGCTATGGCCTAACCATAGGTCTCAGTTAAAGTTGAATGTGTTCTTTGATTCTCACAATCTGAGTCTCACTGCTGGGTGCTACCCACACAAGGCACAAAGCCAGGACAGGGTTGCTTTTGTTCTCTGATAGATCAGATAGTGATTACGTTAAACTCCTCCACAACCCAAGCCCTGTAAACAAAGAACATCCACATTCAATCACAAGTACTACATTATCAGATCTCGCCTTGCATGGTGGTAAAGGCAAAATTAGCTCTGTGTCTCAGGATAAGTTGACAGGCAACTGTCGGTGTGACTTCAAATTCTGATTGTCATCCAATGGTTCTCACGGAGAAATGTATCCTTGTGAGTGAAGGAAATGAACAGAATCAGTGTCATGTCCTATTGCTGACTAATTAATCAGCACTTGGTTCTGATTTATACATGGAAGTTATGTTTGGTACAGAAAGATGTTTCTTGGCTATGGAACGTGTATCTGGAATTAATTTCAAAAAAGGAGGGATAGGACTTTTTTCAAAAAGTGGTAGAAGATGCCTCAGAATAATTTCCAGAAATTTATCCCAGAAGCTCAACCTGATATTCATAATTTATGATTCATTTGAATCTTTCATTAGATTAATTTCTTGTAAACGTCACTAGGTTATCAGAATTCTGCCTACATTACACTTAGCAAACAAAAAAAAGGGAAGTATATAATAGTCATAGAAATAGCATGGAAAGAGGCCCTTCAGCCCATCATTTTTCTGGCAAAATGGTGGCCTTTTAAGTCGCTCCATTCGGAGCTTCACTCTGCTCACCAGTTTCCTTTCCTTTTCCTTTCTTTTTTCTTCTTCTTCTCTCTCATCTCTCCTCTCTGTAGTACTTCTATTTCCCCCCACCCCTAAGCCCCGGCCTTTTAACTACCTGCCTAAGGAGTTGAGAAGGAGTCGGGTTGTGACAAGGAACCGTGTGGTGGGAGCTGAATGCGTAGGCCATGTCCTGCAGCGATGGCGATCGAGTGTGGGCCAGAGCGACATCAGTGGCAAGATCAGGGCTGGTGAGGTGGCGATGGCAGTCTAGCGATCGGAGCGGCGCCTATACCATTGTCGAGATGGCACTCTGCGATCTGGACCTTTCTTTTCCTTGCTTACCTTTTGTCTCTGTTAAATCTTTTAATTCCGGTTTTTGTAACCAAGTAGGTGCCAGTGAATGGTGACTTTGTGCACTTTTTGCTGCACTAATGTATTCCTATACTTAGTACACATGACAAATAAATAAATCTAACATATCCAGGTCAGCACGCATCTATCTATTCTAATCCCATTTTTCTAACAGTTGGCCTGTGGTATTCCATGCTATGGCATGTCAAGTGTTCATCTAGTTACTCTTTAAATGTTGTGTGGGTACCTGTGCTTACCAATACTTTAGACAATGAGTTCCAGATACCCATAAAAAGTAACCCAAAAGAAAATAAAACTTCTCTTTACCTTAAAATGGCACTCTTGGTTATTAACTCCTCCACTAAGGGAAGGGTTTATCTCTAAATACCCAATCCATGCCCCTCATAACTTTGTACAGTTCAATCAGGCTTCCCCTCACCCTTCTCTGCTCTAAGGAAAATAACCCCAGCCTATCTAATCTCTCTTCATAGATGTCCTGGTGAATCTCCTGTGCAGTCGCTTTAGTGCAATCACATCCTTCCTATCGTGCCGAAACCAAAAGTGCACAAGATATTCCAAAAATGGTAACATACACTTACATCATAACTTCCTTATTCTTGTATCCAATCCTTGACTAATAAAGGCAAGTATCCCATATGCCTTCTTAACCTCTTTATCTACTTATATGACTGTGTTTAAGGATCTATGGTCATGTACAACAACATCCCTCTGATCCTCTGCTTCGGTGCTACTATTCAATTGTACACAGTTGCCTGGTTAGTCCTTCCAAAATGCATCATCCAACACTTTTCAGGATTAAATTCCATACACCATTGATCAACCTATCTGTCCAACCTTCCTGTATTATTCTCTAGTCTAAGGCTTTCCTCCGTGGTATTTACCACAACACCAGTTTCTGTGACATCTGAAAATCCAATGATTGTACCTCCTGCATTCATATCTAGATCATTAATATACACAACAAACAGTGAGGGACCCATTGTCAAACCTAGTATGACACCACTGGACATTGGTTTCCAGTCAGAAAAACACTCTCCGACCATCACACGCTACTTTCAACCACCAAGCCAATTTTGGATCCAATTGGCAAATTGCCCTGGATCCCATGAGCTGTTAGCTCCTTAACCAGTCTTCCATATGACACCTTGTGAAAAGCCTTAGTGAAAGCTACATTAACTGCACAACCCACATATACACATTGAGCCACCGCTTCAAAAAATTCAATCAAATTTGTAAGATATGATCTCTTCCTGATGAAGTCATGCTGACTATCTTCGATTACACCATTCCTCTACAAGTGCGCATTAAATCTATTCCTTTGAGTGTTTTTCCAGTGGTTTCTCTACCACAGAAGTTAGACGCATTGGCCTATAGTTTTCTGGTTTATCCCTACCACCTTTCTTGAATAACAGCTCCACATTAACTGTCCTCCAGTCCCCTGGCACTGTTCCTATGGCCTGAGAGGATTTGAAATTTAATGTCAGAGCTCCTACAATCTCCTCTCTTGCCTCCAACCAAGGTACATCTCATCTGGGTCAAGGAATTTATCCACTTCATGTTGGCCCTGCACTCTCACTATTATGCTTTTGAATAACTCCTACTGCTTTATTGTGAATTTTCCTTTGTTACTGATTCCAGTCCAATTTGGCCACATCCTGACTTATCATGCTAAAATCAGCCTTCCCCAGATCAGAATATTTATTTTAAATTTATCTCAACCCTTATCCATAATTACCTTAAGTCTGAATGAATTCTGGTCTCTATTACCAAAATAGTCCCCCATTGACATATCTACCACCTGACCTTTGTCATTCCCTACAAATATGTTCAGCACAGTCCCCTTTCTTGTAGGACTTTTTACATGTTGGCTTGAAAAAACTCTCATGGGCACATTTTAAGAATTCCATGCCTTCTAAGCCTTTCATATCTTGTCTATCCCACATTAGGGAAGTTGAAATCCCCTACTATTATTATGCAATTATTTTTATACTTCTCTGAGAGTTGCTAACATATCTGTCTTTCTATCTCTCCCTGACTGTTTGGTAGTCTATAGTACACCCAGCAAAGTGGTTTCCTCCTTTTTGTTTCTGGGTTCCACCCATATGGCCTCATTTGAGGAACCTTCTAAGATGTCATCCCTCCTTAGTGCAGTAATTAACTACTTGATCAATATTGTGATACTACCTCCTGTTTTATAGACCACCACCTAGCCTGAAGATTCCAAATCCTAGAATGGTGAGCTGCCAGTCCTATTCCTCCCTCAACCATGTCTCTGTGATCGCAATGATGTCACTTCTAGTGCATTAATCAACACTTTCCACTCATCTGCCTTACCTGTAAGATAGCCCTACCATAGCTCAATTCCATATCCTATCCCTTTGCAAAATTCGTTTAAACCCCTGCTAGCCCCACTTGCAAACCTCCCACAAAGATGTTGGTCTCATTCTGGTTCAGGTGCAACCCATTGGACTTGCACAGTTCCACCTTCCCTAGAAATATATACAGTGATCCAAGAATCTAAACCCCAATCTTCTGCTCCAACTCTTCAGCTGTTCATATGCTCTATCTGCCTATTTGTATTATCATTAGCGCTAGGAGTAATCCAGAGACTACAACATTTGATGTCCTGTTTTTCAATCTGCTACCCAGCTCTCTAAATTCTTGTTGTAAGATCTCCTGCCTCTTTTTATCTATGTCATTGACCCCAATGTGAACCACTATTTCTGACTGTTCACCTTCCTCCTTTGGGATGTCCTACAGTCATTCAGTGACATGCTCTGATCCTGGCCCCAAGAAGGCAACACATCATCATGGAGTCATGTCTGTGGCTGCTGAAATGCCTGTCTCTACCCGTCACTATTGAGTCTCCTAATATTATTGTTGAACCTCTTTTTCGTCTTCATCCTTGTAAGTAGGGCTCAGGCTGCACTCCCCAGAAGAACCATCACTCTCGCCATAATATTGTCTGTACGGGACAGCTCAAGGGAGAGCTTCAACACCTATAATCTTTGTAAAGGATGAAATCAATCATGGTCAAC